AGAGAGGGAGGGGGCCGGGGGGCCGGTCTCTTGGAAGCAAACAGCGTTTGTCTCGCCAGTTTTGCGCACCGCCATCCACACAGTAGTGCAGAGGGTATGATCCGCCACGCATACGTACTACTTTTTCCCGCAGTACGTCGTCACCCTGGCCAGCCCCAGCTCGATACAGTCAATAATAAAGCAGCAGGCTTGGCGGCGGCGCGCGCTTCGCTCAGCCTTTTATTGTTATGGCGGGAGAGAGGGGGGGGGGGACTTTTGCGGGGGACTGTGCTACTGTTCTTTCATGTTTAGGGTATGGCCCCTACTGCGTCCATTTCGACGCCGTAACGTCACCTATGGTTCCCACTGGGACGCTGCTGCAGCTGCTGCTGCAGCTGATAATGAAGAGGAAGGAGCACAGCTAAAGGGTTGCCCCCTTGCACCCGCCGCAACCGAGAGCCACTTTTGTCGCGGAGAGTGAGAATTATCAGATTTATCAAATTCTGCCAGCGTGCCATCGGTCCAGAATTACTCTAGAGGGCACCCAGCGGCGCTTTAAAGCGCTTGCCGTGAAAGCCTCACACTTGTGTGCGTCTGTGTGAGTGATAGAGAGAGAGAGCAAATTCACATGTTCGCAAATCATTTAGCGCTGCACAACTGCCCCCACCCCCACCCCACCTGCCTCTGACCAACGATCACATCTCTCTCTCACCCCTTTCCGCTTTCCTCCTCGCTGCACTCTGTTGAACAGGTGAGCCCATTGTACCGCCCCGGCCCCCCCACGCAGTACAGCGACGAAGGGAGCCCGAGTCCAACGCCACAACACGCCGGCCAACCCAACCGGATCGGACAGCACACTGCTTCTAATCCAGACAGTATGAACTGAGCTAAAAGGGCTGTGACGTTATGTTTCCTCTCACACGTCCAGCACACGGGCAAATGTATATATAGCACACGAACACGGCAGATGGAATGGATCTCTGCAAAATATTATTAAGCGAAACTTAATTCACGAAAAATCAATTCACAACTCTCGTAATGCAGGGGCCGCATTGCAAGCAGACCATCCATCCGGAAGATATCGGGGAGGCTCTGCTTCTGCAGTTCAATCTGTATAGGTCTGTGTTTCTTTTTAAACAGTTGTTCAAACAGTGCAAGTTTTTGTTTTCACCGTATAAAGCTCACGGTTGTGCACTTACATTTGCCGAAAACGACAGGGCGCAACAGACCCCCACACAGTAAGCTTGAGCTTCAAGTCATGAGGGGTCGGCTTGGAATTCCGCAATGCCTTTTCACGACGCAGTGCCCGAGAAGTTTAAACAATATGGTGTGTGTAACTTTACACAAAAACTCTTTCAGCTCAAGCGGCACCTGGTTGGCTACGCGTCACCGTCAGCGCGTCTAACACAAAGAAAAATTAGACTTTGTCGTATGGATCAGTTCCATCAGTTCTGTTTGGTAGGCTCAATTCGATAGCTAATCGATATAATCCTATACGCACAAGCAGGAGTTGGTTGTCACGACCGGACTCTTGAACGAATAGAACCAAGCTGAAGTTTGTTCTATTCGTTCATAGGTGACCGGTCGTGGCAACGAAACTCCTGGTTGTTGTGGGCATCGGATTCTCGATTCCAGCCATCGAATTTAGCCTACCAAACACAACTGATCCCAATAACAACAAAGTCATTTTTTTATCGTGCAGGGCAGCGCGTGTCCTTGACTTGCAAAAGGAGGCGATAGGCGCGCGGCACCGCGGGGCATATCGACAGATGGGTGTCTCCCTGGGCCGGCGCGCCCCGGCCGGGTGGTAGACACACGGTATAGGCGCCGCGCCGTCCGCCGGTAAATAAGGCACGGCGAGGTCAAGGGACCCCGGGCCGGGCGCGGGCCGGGCGCGGGCCGTGAAAGGAAAGACGATACATGTATACTGCACGTGCCGGCGGCGGGCCGCATCGATCCCCCCCGCACCCGCGCGACGCCACGTCCAAGCGATATCGAAAACGACAACGTCGTCACGATTAGGGATTAAAATTTTTCACAACTAGTATTTTTGGGGAGAATTTTTAACAATTTCGTTTCAAAATGTTTGAGGTTTTTTTCCCTGAAAAGTTTTTTTCTGTAAAACCTTTCTGAAAATGTTTCAAGATTTTGAAAAAATTTCCGGGTAAGTTTCGGATTTTAGGATCCCTGGTCACGATGTCGTCGTCGTTTTGACATCGTTTCCGCGCACAGCGATTCCACAGCGGCAATCATGTCGCACTGAAGAGATCCCCTTTCACAGGTGATACCTTTACCTGATCTCCTCTTATTTTATTTTTTTTTATTTTTCTGCCCCCAGCGTTTGTGGCGATTGCACAACCACCAGGAAAAAAATTACCCCTACCGCCGCACGCGTAGTTGAATAAATGAACACCACGGGCAGGTCGCGCGCGGGTGACTCATACCCAGTGCAAGTAATTACCCAGTCTCCTTCCTCGTCACGTACCTGCCTACCCCATCCATCGACCCCCCTCCTACCCCTTTTACCACTCCCCCTACCTACACTCACTCGTGCCAACGCCCCCCTCCGCGCCACACACGCCACTAACACACGTAATATTTATGAAATACTCCCTCCCCCTCCTCCTGCCGGCGCGGTGGAGTTGGAGTACGCCGCGGGTAGCCCCCCCCCCCCTACCCCCTCTCTGCCTCCCCAGTGCATGGACGGCGCCGCCACCGCGCCGCCACAAAGCTGCGCATTGCGGGGTGGGTACCTCGGCGTCTGTGAGGGGGGAGGGGGGCGAGCTGAGGCTGTGTGGGCGAGGCGATTGGGGCAAAAGGAAGGAGCGGAAAAGGCGTCCACCCAGCAGGACACCGGTGTGACTCGAATCTGTGGGGCGCCTAGGAGAAGAGGCGCAGGGCAGCGTGAAAAGGGATCGTTCGCAGTACGGGCACCGTTATATTTCACAGATTCATTCGGCAAGTTACGGCAGCTCAGCCTCAGCGCCTGCGGGACTCGGGGTAGGCCAACCCGCAGCACACGCATGCACTTCAAGCAGGAATGTTGCCTACCCGTCAGGCGCTCGGAGAGCTTGTAATGGATGAACTTGGTAATCTTGTAAGGGCGGATGACGGGTAAACCTTCTCGATCATGCCTCGTTCGACGAGATTCACAGCGAGGGGAACATGGAAAGCTGACAGAAGAACACAAAAGCCCAGGGTTCAATCATGACCACCTTGCGGTCAAAGAGGTCGTGACCACTACCGCATGCCAAAGTAAATGGTGACTGTGATTCCGTTTTATAGATCCCCATACACGTCAGTATGCAGTTTACAAACAACGAAAATGTGATCACGGTTCACTCATCACTCTTTGGCTAAACGAGTCATTGTGCGAATACGCCATGCGATCCTACTGCACCGCTGTTTCATCGTCGGTTGCTGTTGCACTACACATACGCGCGTACCAGCGCTATTGCAGGGACGGGCAACGCGCCGGTCCTGTCCACACGTCCTGGTCCTTGTCCTGATCCTGTCCGTGTCCTCCGCCCGCCTATGCGTCCGATACGCGACACCTACGTGTCGTGCGCGTTTCCACTTCATTACAGTCACAGTGCAAACGGCTGCTGAGCGCGCTCAAGTGCACGCGGTGGTGGTGCGGTTCGCACGCCCCGCCCTCTGCTGTGCTGCCTCCTCCCCCACCCCCCACCCCCTCTCTGCCAATTAGCCCTCCAGCATCTGCTCACCTGTCCAGCAGAGACTCCAGCAGCGGCGCGCTCGCTGCGCGCGGCCAGGCGACGGGAGGTGGTGCGGTCCGTTTGAGTAGTATATCCAGAGGGAGGAGGACGGACGGACGGACGGCGTGGGGGAGGGGACGAGACGCCCTCAGCTGATCCGGTGGCGCTCGCACACACACTCACTCCCCGACAGCGTCATCCCCCCCGCGTACTCGCACCGCCACACAGGCACACACAGAGACACGCACGAGGTGCTGACACCCGTCGTCGCCACGCCGCGCCGGTCGGAGGCGCCCGCACGCCACGCCACGCTGGGCAGAGCTCGCCCTGGCCGCCCCGGGGCTCTGGTCCGCGCTGTGCTGCTCGGGCGCTCGCTCGCGGCTCCGGACGCCTGCCCTGGCTGTGCCCGCGCTGCTCTCGCACTGACTCGCCCGGCCCAGCCCCCCCGCCGCCTGGCGCCCCCACACC